TACCACCTGGTAGAGGTGTAAACTGCAGTAAAGGAGACCTGGATTACCTGACCGTGAAACCCAACCAAAGATCACGCACACGATGGAATTGAATGCAGTGAATAATCCAATTGACCTGGATCCCGCATACGCTGGAGCTGACCGAGGCTCTGTACCTCCTCTAGCAGACTCTGAGACTCGAAGAGAGGGAACTTAGGCAAGAAGAAGAGCAAAGTCTCTCAAGTGGTCCGAATGGATGGATCGTGCTCTCGTTCGTCAAGTCCTAGCCACTGATCCTATCAACTGCAGGTGGGGGAATACAGTAGCCAAGTGGAGCGAGGTTTCTCGGATTTTGCAGGAGTTGAAACCGCAACCAATAAGCAAAACCTCTGAGTCCTGCTTGCAAAGAGTGAAAAAGCTTGTTGAGATTTATAAGATACGTAATAATTTGTCACTTAGGATAAAATATAAGGACATATATTTACCTATATGAATAGAAAGCAGAGTTGGCTTCTCTTAAAAAGACTGGTACAGATGAGGAGTTTGGCGAGTTTGAGCTCAACATGTTTGAGCTCAGTACCCGCTGGGACCAAAGCAGTATCGATCCTGGGACCAGAAAGCTTGCTCAACTTCATGCCGCTCAATTGGAGCTTGATGGAAAGAGGGTACGAGATGACTCGATGAGGGGGTTAGTAAGGCGTCATGAAGAGGAGGAGAAAGATTTGTCTGATTCAGCTACCGGCAGTGGGGCAAGAACAAAGCCCAAGAAGAGAGCCAAAAACCTTCCTGCTAAAAATGTTGAGAAGATCCTTCTTGACTTTGCCGAGGGTATGGAGGAAGACAAAAAGGAACTAAAGGAGATGGAGAAGAAGGCTGATCCAAAGCATGATGATCTTATGTATGGTATCTTAGGGCTTACAGAGGAGATTCGGGAGCAAAGTGAGCGTTGTTCTCATGATGCCTACTTGGAACGGGAGGCAAAAAAGGAGGAGTTAGCTATGATATTGGAGGCACTACGAAAGGACAATGAAATTTGAGCCAATAGGCTCCCCTGCTTATAATAAATTGGTAAAGTGCAAGGAATACATGGTAACGAGATTTTTGACTCATCCCAAATATTTTCTGAGTACCCAAGCACCAAGTAGACCAACCCCCCCCCCCCCTTATTGTAATTCTATTCACAGCACTCCCATTAACTGAAGTAGAGGAGATCTTATATCTCATATTCGCTTAGATATTGTGATGGTAACTGAACCCCGAATCTCCATGCCTCCGTTGGATGTACTGGTTTTACCTTCTAATTCATGGTCTATTCAGCTGTTAAATGAGTGCACCCTAATTAAGCAAGTTATTAGAGAATAGAACTTACTTCATAACGGCTATATATTTTGGAATGTTGGGTACAATGTGCTGCCAGATCATTGGTAGCTGTGGGTAGTTTATCAACTATCCGTTGCCAAAATTCCGATTTCTCTTCAATTCCTGCAACATCAGCCTTTCGGTTTCCAAATCATCCATTCTGACGTAATCCTCTTCTTCAGGTTCTCTCTTCCTCTTAAGTCCCTCCCCTCTGCCCCCAACACCACCATCAATCCTCTGCTTCGCAAGTACTGCCTCCCTCTCCTTCCTCATGCTCTCCCTCCCCACTCCAATCTTCTTCTTCAACCTCTCATCAATCCTAATCTTAGCTTTGGGCGGCGGAGTGATGGAGGTATTCAGACTTGGGGTTGAGGAACAATTATAAAGGTTTTTCGAGTCGAAAAAATTTAGCTCTTCCAATCGGTGGGGAACTCGAGCCTGGTGGCTGCGGCCTAGATAACTCATTCCTATTCATATAGTAGGAAGAGGGGTGTTAGACCTGTGCTGTTAGGATGGGTATCAGTTTACCTTGGAGAGGGCGGGGACGTTATGGGGCAGACGGAAGGAGTTTGAGGAGTCCTGAGTGGTGCGGTTAAGGCAATGTCACTACCTGTAGACCTGGAAATAGAATCTTTAACGTCTCCTCTTGATCCCACATCAGGGTTTATGGATAGGAGCGTAGGACGGCCATCAAGGCCCGCGACGACAGTATCAGAATCACCAATCCCGAATCGTATCTCCATCACACACCGGTCTCTATATTCAGCGGAGGGCGGAAGAGGCGCCAGGCGGCCAGAATCGACATTGTCCAGTTCCAGTATGATCTGCACAGCTCCATCACACCCGTTGGAGAGAGCCAGCGAAGATGAGGTTTGGTCCTTGTTATCCGGCATAGCGGTGGGGGCATCTTTCTGTTCCGAAAGCATCCTCACTACCGCCTTATGCCTGTACCTAGCTGCCTAAAAGAGTGGCATCCAGCCTGATGCGCCTGCCTGGTCGGGGTTGGTGTCTAGGCTTGCATGAAGATCCACTAGCGAGCTGACGTTAGAACCTATTAGCAATATCTGTCTCCCGTCGTGTATCTTCCCTCTTACGCAATGTAGGTCTCTTCAACCTCTGGACCTCTATAGCAATACAGGGCTGAACCAACCAATTTCCCCCTATCAAACTCATGAAACCAATTCCAATATTCCTCCATTCGTGAAAGCCAGCCTCCCAGCTCCTTGACCCATTGCGTTTGAATGTCGTAGTGCCATCTCTGCCAATGGGGTTTGAGTGGAGAAAGAAAGGCCAAAATTTTCGGACTTCTCGTTAGCTACCCTATAGTTATTCGACACATTATTAACCAAAAATTTTGTATTAAAAGAGTTGATGTTACCTTTGATGTGATATTGTGACGTTTTGTATTTGTAGCTGTTTGAAGGCGCGGTAGATGCGCTTGTGAATGGTCAAAGAGAGTTATTCTATGAGCCGGAAGTCTGCTAAATCTCTATCTATCAATTAGCTAGACAACCTAACGAAGGAGAAACCAAGGGCTAAGAAGGGGGAATACTCTTAATTGTGAAAATATTCCATTAGTGTAGGTGGTTCTAATAGTACTTCGTCACCAGGATTTTCTTCATTTGCGTTCAGCCCCGGCCGATCAAGATTTTGAAAGTATTGTGTAATTTACGGCTAGTGAAGATAGACATGAGCATTGTTAAGAAGGGCAGCAACCCTAAACTGAATTCCCACCGGCTGTAACAAATGATTTTGGTTTTCAACATAGTCTAGGAATCCAAATGTTGATATCATTTCCTTAAATGCCCATTCAGCTACAATTCTTAACCGTGACATTGACTGATTCTATTGCTCTTGGTCTTTAGTTATATGTGCCCTCTGATATGATGAGAGAAGGAAAGAGTTAAAGCTATATGCAGAGTCACCATATATCTGCAGGGGACTACCATCTGGTGATCGTGCATGCTGTTGTAGTCTAGTTAGTAAACCTGACTCTTGCCAGAGAAACTCATCATTTCTCCTACCATCAATTGGCCCAAATAGATGACTGATTAGCCCGTCAGGTGTTACTATTGCATAATATTTGAGGCAGTGTTTACTCTTCCACCCATTGTAACAAGTTCTTTGCCTGCATGCTGGACGAGCAATACCTCGTATAGTTCCGTCAATGAAACCCTACACAGTCCCTATTGGAGCCCCCTTACGCTCAACTACATGTGCATATTGAGCTAACTTTTGTGGAGTTGGGCGGATGGGATCCCATTCTAGTAGGTGTTCCCAGTGTTCATGAATTAGCTGTTGCACTAGAGTACCCATATGAGAAACTCTCTCCACAGGCCATCCAAACTTTATTGCTAAATCACTTAGCCTATTGGGATAGGCAAGTCGAGCAAGTAGCATACACAAGGCAGTTCGGCGATCCTCTATCATTCGATTATCTGTTCGAATCACAACTGGTAGTTGTAGAGCGACAACTAATTCTTCTATTTCCTCGCGAGTAAAGCTATTCAAATCTTTGTAAGCACGTACTTTAATTATAATTTTGGCTCCTTGCTACATACCGAAATAGATTCCTCCATTCCCCCTCATCTAACATGTCCAAATCAACCTGCCCGCCATCGCGCAAAGCACCTCGCTTTCGGCTATTATCATGCACTAATGCGGTCCGCAGTGCCTGGAGGGCAGTCAACTGCCGCCTTTTTCGAGCATGGAGAAATTGAACTGTGAGCATTGAAAGAATAGAGACTTTCTGAAACCACTCTGGACATGAGGCAAATGTCACTACCAACCCGCCAGTTCACTAGCATTTGACACCTGATGCGAAATGGTAACCTCCTAGTAGAGGCTTCACAGAGTAAGATAGGCTTCAGGCTCTCTTTCATAGACTTCTCTTGCGTTCAACTGATCTTCTCGTTTGTCGCTATGGAACACTTGTTCGTACTGCCTATAATCTCATATGTGATGATGATGACACACAGTCAGCTGACTGCCAAGCGACCTATACCTCTTGCGCAAACTCATCGCAAGACCTAGGTCTCTTTTCCGTTAACTCCCACCTAGGTCTTACAGCGCAAACTCTCTATTGAGCTGTTGGTTGCGAGCGAGCTAGCAGCTAGGAATTATGGCGGCCAGCCACAACCTTGGCACGAGTAATTTCTAACCCCACCAGAAGATGCCATTCTGGTGGGTTTGGTGTATACGAGTATAATTTAGGCGAGATTTTGTGGTTGTGGTGTTGAAAAATGTGCAATTTTCATCCGGGAGGAAAATAGAGGGAACGAAGCATGTTAGCCCACACACCTAGTTACTCGAGTAGACTAGAGTTTCTTGTACCTTTCTTTCTTTCTTTCTTTCATCTACACCGGATGTTATGAGTACGATAATAATTAGAAGCATCGATCAAACATGGGAGACTCATAAATTACAGAGCTATTATATATGACACATGCATTCCCTATCATACGGATTCATCCCGATAAAGCTTTGTTATGTTATTGGGCTTAGGGCATGGGGTAAGGTTACACCACGTAACCATCCTCATCCAGTCCCCTTGGCAGTTCCCACCATAACAACTCATCAACCCTCTTCCCCAGCCCTTCTGAGAATCTACTGATCATACCATGATATCACGCTAGCTCACGATTTCATAATATAGAAAAACCATGGGTGTTACGGGTCTATGGACGATAGCAAACCCCTGTGCGCGCCCCGTTAAGCTCGAATCACTTGCTCGCAAACGTCTCGCCGTCGACGCCTCCATCTGGATCTACCAGTTCCTTAAAGCTGTGAGAGATAAAGAAGGACACGCGCTCCAGAGCTCGCACGTAGTTGGCTTCTTTAGGAGGATATGCAAGCTCCTTTTCTTCGGGATTAAACCGGTTTTCGTGTTCGACGGTGGTGCGCCGCCGCTAAAGAGGCAGACCATTGCCGGGAGGAAGGCCCGTAGGGAAGGGAGGAAGGAGGATGCTAGGAGGACTGCTGGAAGGATATTGGCCTTGCAGGTTCAGCGGAGTGCGGATATTGAGGCTGCGAGACGAAGGAACCGGAAGTCGGGGGATTGGGAGGATATACTTGATGGGGAACAGGAGCAGGGGCAGCCTGAAGGGGAGGAGGGGATTGGGGACGCGAGTCAGTTGGTTTATGTTGATGAATTGGAGCAGACCCTCAAGGAGCGGGCGAAAGCCCGTGGGTTTAGAAAGTCGGATCCCTATCACTTACCTGAACTCCCTGTCAGCATGGAGAGCCTGGGAGCTCCGAATGACCCGAGAGTCATGTCGCAGGATGATCTGGAAGAGTATGCCCGTATGTTCCGTGGCGGGGAGGAAGTCAACCTTTACGACTTTTCCAAGATCGACTTTGACTCGGATTTCTTTATCTCGTTACCCATGGCGGATAGGTACAATATCCTCAATGCTGCGAGATTACGTTCCAGGATGAGAATGGGGTTGGCGAAGGAGCAGCTCGACTCTATGTTTCCGAATCGGATGGATTTCTCTAAATTTCAGATTGAGCGGGTTAAGGAACGGAATGACCTTACCCAGCGCCTTATGAATCTCAATGGAAGAAGCGATCAGCCGGGATCTTATGACCCAACTAGGGTTGCTGGGGAGAAGGGAAGGGAATATGTTCTTGTTAAGAATGACGGCGTCGAGGGCGGTTGGGTCCTGGGTGTTGTCGGTAGTTCTGGGGCGAGGGAGGGTGAGAGGAATAAACCTATCATCGTTGATAATACAGAGGAACTCGAAGGCGAAGGAGAGGAAGACCCGGATGATGATGAGGAGTTTGAGGATGTTCCAGTTGAGGGCTTGAATAGATTACCGCACATTGAATCCCGCGATGATCGTGAAGGGAGCTATACGTACGATGTATTAGACGGCGCGGAGGCGCAGATGCTGAGGAGGGCAATTTACGAGAGCAAAAGAGAGCAAAATGGGTCGAATAACAAATGGAAGCTCTCGCCAGACCCGATTTCTGATACTAGTCTAGCTGAACCTACTAATCCTTTATTTCTTGGCGATGATGAACACTATGATGAGGACGGGGACGACGATCCATTCCCATTGGACTTTGTCGGTGAGGGACAAGGTAGCGATGAAGAACTGCAAAAAGCTATTCAGTTATCACTCGAGACCCATCGAGGATATCATAATACGGAGTTGGAATCAACCTTCTTTGGTCGCGATCTTAGTGACATCGCCGAAGAGGAAGAAGAGGACGAGCCCATTAATAATAAGGGCAAAGAGAAAGCCATCGAGGTGCCTGCAGTGGAAAAAGAGAAGCCACTACTGCTTGTAGTGCCTGGTGAGGATCCAGATTTCAGCAGAGCTATTTCTGAATCCAGGCGTATGAATGGTGGTGACATGCCGAGGGATTCCGGCTGGGGCGCCCCTGGTGAGAGTAGCAAGGGCTCCAGCTCTTCTGTTGTCCCGAAGAATCCCTTTGGAGGATTGTTGCCATTTGAGCGTTTAGACATGGGCAAGAGTATGCTATTTAAAGGGAAGAACCCGGAGGGGGAACCTAAAGAGATGGGGGAGGGCGGAGACAAGGGAGAGGATAAAAATGGAGGTGATTCTGTGCCACTACCGCCGTGGTTCACTGGGGGTCCAAAAAAAGATCTAGCAGAAGAGATGCGCTTGGCTAATCGCGATAGGGAACTCACTCGAGAGGAGAAGGAAAGGCAGGAATACGAGCTAGAGATGCAGAGGATTGCTAATAAGCGATATAAAGAACGGGATGTGGTGATGATTGATTCCGACGATGGGGAGGATAACGATGATGTGGTTATGCTAGATGGTCTATCTGAGAAGGGTGACTTGAACATGGACGATGTGGCAGACCGGTTAAGGACTCATCCGCCCGGGCCGATAAGCTCCCAACGGGAGGGCGATGAGGAAGAGATCGAATGGGAAGAAAGCGATCATGAGAGTGCACCAGCGACAGTGGAATCCGCAGCCGCACCAAAACCTTATCCTAGAGAATCGCCCCCACCCCCTGACCCTGATGGAGCTGAGAACGGAGTGCCTCGGGAGGCAACTCCACCACTGGAATATACAGACGACGAGGAACAATACGCAGAACCTGAAGACTTGGAATTAGCGCAGCAACTCGTTGCGGAATCGGAGGAGCATGCCCGGTTCGCCGCGGAACTAAATAACAAACCCCAGCAGCAAACTCGAGAGGGATATGAGCGAGAACTCCACACCCTCCGTGTACAGCAAGCTAAGGATCGCCGAGACGCTGACGAGGTCACGCAAGCGATGGTTCAAGAATGCCAGCAATTACTTACGCTCTTCGGAATACCCTACATCACCGCACCAATGGAGGCAGAAGCTCAATGCGCGGAGTTGGTTCGCCTCGGACTTGTTGATGGCATTGTTACAGATGATTCGGATACGTTCTTATTCGGCGGGACGAGAGTGTACAAGAACATGTTCAATCAAGCCAAATTCGTTGAATGCTATCTCGCCGGCGATTTGGAGAAGGAATACGCACTCGACCGGACAGGGCTTATTCGGATAGCGCATCTACTTGGCAGTGATTACACAGAAGGCGTGCCCACCGTTGGTCCCGTCACAGCCATGGAGCTCCTAGCCGAATTCGCGAGCGATAATGGCCTAACCGAATTCAAAGAGTGGTGGACAGCAGTACAAACCGGCTTGAGAAAGCCTGCGGACGACGACGATAACCCCTTCCGGAAGAAATTCGTAAGTTATCTCCTTCCCTGTTCCCCCCACCGCCTCCCGGGTTGACATCCCCGTCAGCGCAAAAACGCCACAAAAGTCTTCCTCCCAACAAACTTCCCAGACCCACGTGTCGACGAAGCCTATATGCATCCAGAAGTCGACCACGACCCCTCCCAGTTCGAATGGGGAATGCCAGACCTCGATGGTCTCCGGCGCTTTCTCATGGCGACGGTAGGCTGGTCGCAGGAGCGCACTGATGAAGTACTTGTTCCGGTCATCAAGGACATGAATACGAAGCAAGTTGAGGGTGCGCAGAGTACTATTACACAGTTTTTTGAGGGTAGGATGGGGACGGGTGCGGCTGGGATGGCGGGCGCGCCGAGGAGGAAAGTTAAGAAGAGTAAGCGGATGGAGAAGGCTATGTTAAGTTTACACGAGAGGGCCAAGAGGATTAATGGCAGTGGGGGGGGCACAGCGGGCGAGCAAGATGGGGATTTGGAGGATTGGGATGAGGGGGAGGCGGAAGTGGCGGAGAAGCCGGCAAAGAGGAAGAGAGCGTTAGCCAGGAGGAGCCGGGGGAAGAAATCTCTGGTTAACAACGACAGCGGTGAAGGTCGTGACGATGAAGAGCTCGGGGGAGAGGGGTACCGCGAGGAACAGGTCCCTGCTCCAGTCAAGAAACGCAAAACTACTACCGGAAGAGGGGGGAAATGATTGCATAGCCATGCCATATACCAGTAATGCTTGTGTTTTTTCTTTTTCTGATCAACACCATCGCCGTAAGCTAGTTGCATTGCATAGGTTGGTGTTTTGTTTTCGTGTTGCTTTAGTTTGGGTATCATAATGGTAATGGTATCGTATGTGTTTGGCGGTTTTCTTTGCTGGTTTGCTTGCCTTGAGTTCAGTTGTGTTGTGCTCTCCGGTGATGTAGCCGGATTGTAGACGGGTTAGAAGTGGGTGGGGGTGTGATGAGTGTCGGCGGTCTAAGGTAGACGTTGTACGTGATAGAGAAGTTACATTGAAGCCGTCACTAGGCTCTGGAATGCGGATATTGCGAGGTGTGGCAATAATATGCATGCTACGGTTAGCGATGTACAGGTCGAGGTTATTGTGAACACAAGATATCACTCCCCGGCTTGCATCGTGCTCCTGCGGTCATTAAATTTTGCACCTGAGAATCCCTTCATATCAGATCCATCAAGCGATGTATTCACTGCCTTTCCGGTCAAGTGGTTCAACGGGGGACCAAATTGAAGAATAGTATAAATTAACGGGAAGTCCGTTGGGTTTTTCCCTCTTTCTTTCCTCTCTCTATCTTACAAGATTCTAGCCTACAAAGGACAGCCGGGCGAGCTAGTACCGAAACACACCTTTTGCAAATACCTTTATGGTAGATGAGAACCCGCGGAATCTTCTAATCTATTCTCACAGGATAGTTTATCCGTATCATCCAGGAATCTGTGTGATACGGTACCGCCTGTGCGAGGATAGGATTGGCATTTGGGCTTGGTTGGGTTGCCTCACTTTAAATTGCCTTCTCTAGATGTCCTGGGCGTGCACGGGTGGGAAAATGGGTGGAACAGATAGGGGTTGGTCTTCTTGGGCCGATTATCCAATTCTTGATTGGCGGTGATGTGTTCTGTGATTTCGTTCGGGATCATCGGTACTGCGTACTTTAGCCCTTGCCGGTAGTACAAGCACCGTAAAACCTCGCGCATGGCCAACACGACTGGGTCGATCAATACTGCCCCCTCGATGAGCTCGCTCACGAGGACTCGTTGGGATATCTTTTTTGTGTAGCAGTCGTTGTGGAGATGTGAAGCCGACCTATATCATACTCGGCAGCGACTGATTCTGGCTCTGAGCAAGGGGCTATGTAGATCCGCTTATATGCGGGGTTTTGCGGGTACGGTTCCGACGCTGAATGAGGTATTGCTATTTAACGAGCCATGACTGACAGCTCCAATAGCGCTGCTACGGCATTGCTAACCTGTGTGAGTGAAAGGCACGAGCACTAGACTAAAAATATTTCCGATAGAGACGAGTGACTATGCGTGGTTCCAATGTAGAGTGAGCACCAGTGAAACTTGGTTCTGCGTTTTTCGCAAATTTGTGGGGGGGATCTTCACTCCAGCTGGGCCCCGGACTGACTGATTCGTGTCCTTGAGAGGCCTATTGGTGTGGGTAGGATTCTTGGCTTGTTCCATGATACTGTTATGCGCATGGTAGGATACTGTACTCAGTGATCCCAAGCGTCCCGTCCGCCCGGCAGGTGTTTCAGGCTGCAGGGCAAGGGCGTCCGTCTTTTGGAGAAGACGGCCGTCTAAGAGGGTGACGGCAGGGCCCTGCCGTCCTCAATATCATGGTAACACAAAAATTGTTCCTGCAGGACGCCCGTCACCTGCAGGGCCCGCTCGTCACCTATAGGGCCCGCCCGTCATCTCACGTTGCACAACACCTTCCGCAACCTGAGACACCTGTAGTCCCCGCCAGTCCGTCTCGGGCTGTCCCGGGCGTCCTTTCAGGTACCGCCGTCCGTCCCGTCCACCCCCAAAGACGGACGAACTGGACGCTTGGGTTCACTGACTGTACTTGTAGTCACTCGGTATCATTTGGTTCAATTGCAGTAATACAAACCCGGGTAATCTGACCATGTGCTATATGGGGTCAGAAACTCCACTCTTCCAGGACAGAAAAAAAGAGACAAAACTTTTACTGACATTACTAAGAGAGGGGGAGGGCCCAAGGACATATATATCACAAACCAATTATTCGAATAAATAAGGTGCCGCTATTTTCCTTGCGGCCGGAGATTCCAACATCTTAATCTATTCCTGTATCATAGGGAAAACCTTTTTTTTTTTTTTTTTGATATGATAGTATGATACCGTACTCCTGATTTTTTCTCAAGTTTTATCCTCGATGCTGGAGTTAGAGTCGTGGCTTGCCATATCAGGGTTGTTGGTTTGTACTAGGATCAAAAGTGGGCCAGGCGGATGGGTGCTGTCATTAGTATCATGCTGGATTTTGAATCTTTGATTCGGGGTGCGGTGGTAACTGCCCGAGTGTTCTAGTATCACGCTGTGAAGCCTGGCCGACTGATTTGGCCTACGCTTGATCTGTTCTGGCATGGTGCGATTCTGGTACTCTACGTGTGGGGCGGTGGTTGTGTTTCCTCTGCAATAATATTATGATAGTCTATCCAATCATATACTTTGCTCATGTCTTTGGTCATATACACGAACTAAATCTTTTATGGTGGAAAGGCCCCTTTGTGCGAGTATATTCAGTGAACTCCCGGGCTCCACCGTGTTGATACTTTCATTGTGGTAGTGATTTAGTAGTTCGTAGCAGGGGCTATAAAGGCTGGGGAGGACAATCCAATGCAAGGGCAGAGTGTACTGGTCAGAATCTGACCTACTTGGCCCCGTCGCTTAAGCGAGGGGAATGCACCCTATAGGAAACGCTTGCAGATACTCCAATCTGCAATCAAAGCAATGTTTAAAGTTGCCAAGCCTCAAAGATAGAAGCCAAAGGTTTATGGCCTTCATGATACCAGGTAGGGGAGGAAAAGGGACGCCCCCGACGGCCCATGGCTGCTTTTAGTGGAGGAACCAAGCAGTCCTCGAGCGGGTATGGGGCACCATTAACACCCTAGTCTCTCGACAGGGCGATCGCTCTCTCCATACTACCGACATAGCTATAGAGTGGTTTGAGGCTATGGTAATAGCATCGAACTTGAATCCCATCCCCCGTGTTCGCTAATCCGGTCCCAGCCGGGTATGTCTGGGTCGAACTCGAAGATTCACGAGCAGTGCCGCCGCCATGGAAACTTGGACGATCCACTGCTTCTGTGACACCTCTAATCTCCGTAGTTGGCGACAAAATACACATCTGGGAATGGTGTTTACTTGAAAAGGTACGGCTTGAGCGAGCCGGACTTCCCTGGTCTCGTTAACTAGTGTTAGGAACTCCGTTAGTCTACTCGGCCAAGCCCATTGCAATGCAGCGCTATTGCTTATTCGACGGTGGATCGATTGTCCAAGTTATGATACTACAGTGGAGAACCAGGAACCCTATGTTTTCAACAACAAGGCTTACGGCGGCGATTTGGACACTGTTGACTCGAATTGAATGGTCGAACAATGATGCAAAGATCGATCGTATTAAATATCCTAACCGGAGAAATATTCTCACGAAGAAAATAGGTAATGAAAAGAAAGGAAAAGACTGATTTGACTCAAATACTGGTAATGGAGGGAAGAGAGACAAATTGGATGATAAACGAAAACAACTAAAAAAGGGAAAACAAGCTGCCTTTTATCCTTCTTCGGATCATCCTGATTCCTCCCCACATACTTCCAGCGTATGCCGTGTTCATCATGCTCAATCTCACTGCCTCCCATTTTGCTATTTCGGCCGCGGATGAGAAGATTCGACCGAGGGTAAGTTCTGACCAAGGATAAGAGTATGACCGAGGATATTCGGTATCTCCACATGATAGGAGTAAGAACTCCCAATGGAGTTGTCGCAGGTGTTGTCGCAGGTGTTGTTTGATGTGTAGGACTAACCTGTAGTCAAACATAGAGGTGTCGGAGTGGTTGATATATGTCGAGAGGGTTAGGGATGGTCACGTGAAAATGGGCAGACCCCCCTGGTTAGCGTATTTGGGCTAGGGTTGTTCAGTCTTTGTCGTAGGGGAAATATGCGGTGAGCAGCCAAGAAAGATTTCCGTCCAACACTAAGGAAGGTTGGTGTTTGCCTGGTAGAGGTGCTTCCAGAGGATTGGTCAATAATTTCGGCAGAATTCTTTGAAGAAGCGTTGTCTCTCTATTCCCAATTGAGTTGTAGCTGTTATTGCCATATAGGCCATCACACTAAGGAGCCACATACGTAAAGGTACTTTTCATTGAACATTTTGATCTCGTATCATGCCTATCTCCCGGGCGGTCAAGAAGGTGGGAAAATCGGTCTCATGCATTAGTGTCAGTAAACTAGCTGTAAATGGGTAAGCATGACTTGGCATAAAATCTCTCATCAAGGTAAAGCTATCATCAGTATGTTCTAAAGTGACTGTGAAGGAAGATTTTGACTACGCAATGTCTTCTAAACGCTCTCGAAAGCCCTTATCCGAAAAATGCAGCAATATACCTTTGAAGAAGCCAAAAGTTATGGCTAGTACTGGTTCAGAAAACTGTGTTGGATCAGAAGGTTTTGAACCTTTAGAGTATGCTGCATCAGAGCATGCAGCTCAAGCTGTACTACCGCCAGATATTGAATTATCACCAATCGTCTTCTTTTCTCTCTTTTGGACCCCGGCAATTTTAAAATTGATTGTGAAGGCAACCAATATCTACGCAGAGCAAAAGCGGTCGGCATCTGCTAGGCAGAAAGGCACACGGTCATGGAGACCAGTTACGGTTTCTGAGCTTCAAAGGTTTCTTAGTATCTCTATCTTTAAAGGTATTAATAGATTGCCGAGTTTATCAAGTCAGTGGAAGTATGGCCGGAGTATGCTACCCAAGGGAGCGATCGTCCTAGTAAGATACATGCAGATTAAGTGTTATTTGCATATCTCGATTCCATCTCGCAGTAGTCAATCACCAAAGCTACCCCGGAAAGACTGGTAGAAGAAATTAGAACCTCTTTCTTCCTATTTTCAACATCGATGCCAGGAGCTTTATCTGCCTAGCACCAATATCGCTGTTGATGAGATGATGGTCAACTTTACAGGACGAAGTACACACACTATTCGGCAAACTGGAAAACCAATTCCAGTTGGCTATAAGGTACTTGCAATTTGTGATTCTGGCTATACCCTCAATTGGCTATTCAC